GATGTTCACGAACTTGTTCCTCTTCTGTAGGTGGGGGTGGTAATCCAATTTTTTCGGACGTAGCTTCGAACTCCGCGGCACAATCATTTCCGAGACATCGGGCTGGCATTTCTTTAACGTACCGGAATGCCATCGGTCGAATGAGATAGGGGATCACTAAATCCGTTGATTTCAACTATCCGACGGGTTTCGAACCGTTCGAACGATGCTCAAAATTTAATACGATCGAACCTTTTACGAACTTTCCTCATTCTACGTGATTCACTTTTCCCTTGGACGCTTTATTCGAGCGCAGTTCTTCCCTAGTATAAAATCTTTTTAACATAACTGCTGCGACGTGGGTCAGACTTATGCCTGGCCTTTGTTTCTATCCGTTTTAACATATTTCATTACTGGATTGGATTGAAGTTAGGCGACTAGGGTTCTAATTCATATCAAATTTGGCTCGATTACAATTAGGTTTCTCCTGATGTCTGACCATTACTGGCTATTACCACTTATAATGCACGAAAATTCTCGGACGAGCGGAGCCATTTCTCGAATGTCCACCAAAAATTCACGGTTTAAAAATTCCATATCAATTTCCATTTTCCATCAGCGTGAAGTGGAAAGGGGCGGAGGGGGAGCATCCAATGAAATTAATTCGTCGAGCGAACGTAACTCAGGATCCACGCGTTCGCACACATAATCATCAAGTTGGCGACGGTGGTGGTGAGGGGAGAAAGTTAAACAACGGTCGGCGCTGTGTGTAACGTTAATACATTTCGCGTTCCGCTGCGAATTAAACGCGGGGACCAACTTATTCGAAAGTTCCGAACTAAATCGCATTTCCCATCGGATACGCTGAGGCCGTTCTTAATTCGTGGCGAACGATTCAATGGGAACCGGTAGGAGAGGAATGGAGAAGGAAGTTGCTGCGGTCGAATAAAGAGGATTCTCGTGAATGCTGCGCAATTATTATTGTACACCACGTTCCGTGCCGTGTTGTGCAAGCTGACAAATTGCGCGACTTCGCGGTTGCGAACACGAATCAATTAACGTGGAACGCTCTTCGTCTTCCTGGGAGAACGACATTTCGCAAGATTCGGAAATTTTCAGAGCTGCTTGGGCTCGTACGATTCGCTCCAGGATTCGGGATAGTTTCAGGTCTGATGAATTCGGAATCTTTTCGAAGTGATTGCGTCGAGCATCGATCAGTACAGATAGGTCGATGTTGCGTTTAGAACTGGGTTTGAATCATGTTAGATTTGTGTTTGGACAGTATTAGGTGTTAGGTATGTGTTTGGACTTTGTTAGGTGTTTTATATGTGTGTTTGGGCAGTGTTAGGATATGTGTTTGGACGGTTAGGTTGCCGCAATATCTGCAGGAAAATTCAGTAAATTCTCTTCGGGTTACTAACACGTCTGAATTGGAACAATATAGGAGGGTTTGGATCCAAGTCCCCGTTTGGCATTCCGAGTGTCACGTCCGTCTACGTCCGGCGCCGCAATATTTATACGAAATCACCTGAAATCCGTGTCAATTACACGTGGTGCCCGATAATTCCGGCCGACCTCGGGCTCGATTCGAACGGATTCAATCGAAACCATTGCGGCTGCCTTTTTATAAATTCGACGAGACGACCGTATTATGCACGTGCTACCAGCTATTTCCGACGAATTTGCCCGGGATTTAAGAATACACCGGCCGGCCCCGGCTGAATCAATAAATGCCGGCGGATGATAACACGACCTCCGTGGTGAACACTGCGAGCGCGACCTTTTTTTCTACGACCCCGCGAATGGAAGCTGAACTAACAGGGGCAGTTTGGTACCACGCAAAAATTGTGATTTTCTTAATACTCTGCAAGGTTGAAGAAGACTTCGATAGAAGCATTGGGCGAATTTTTAGTTTTGCCGATATCTGATTCTTCAGGGTGAAACATCTCTTTAAACTTTAATGTGGCTTTCTCTATTTTCCTGTATATCTTGGAAACTATAGGAGATACAGAACAACTGGTATAGTGAATATTGAGTAGCATCTTATGCTTTATAAAAGCATGTAATAAAATTGTTCAAAATTTATTTGTTTATTAATTTATTTATTTAAAAAACAAATTTTTAACCATTTTATTACGTACTTTTACAAAGCATAAGATGCTATTGATGTTTCATTGAAACAGTTTTTTTATATCTATTATAGTTTTCGAGATATAGCGGAAAATTTGAAAGGACATATTAACGTTTAAGGGGTGGTTTCGCCTTCAAGAAATTAGCTTCTATTGAGGTGATCTCGAATCCCGTTTTTACGGCTCTGTCTGAAAACGAAAGACGAAGATTTCGACGGATTCGCGTCGATTCGAGGAATTTTAATTAGCTCCGTCCACCCGCGTTATTATAGATCGTAATTGAATTCCAGCACAATGGCTCTGGCGATCGGCCGTCTAACTTGGACCGACCCTTCTTCTCAAGTCGATTTGTTTTACGTCGATGAAAGGCCGGTTTAAATCCCTAATTGTCGGAAAATTCGAGATTTCCTTCGACTTCGACGGGGGTACCACCTCGAAAAAACATCGACGAGGCCACCACTCGTTCTTCGAACGTGGCACCGTAAACACCGGGGGAGTTTCCGTTCCCGTGGCAAACAACGGGATTTTCAATGACGCCATTATATCCGCGCATCGATGTTTACCCGGTAACTCAGCAAACAGAGAATATGCTTGCGAGTTTGTCTAAAAACGTGCAGGTTCTTCTCTCGCTTTTAATTAAACGGACCAATTAGTGATTCGCCATTTTTTGTTCAATTGGAGGTTATTCCTGTGAAAATTAGATGTGTCTCTCGTCATTCTCCAAGGAAATACCGGTAATTTTCAAGTCTCGAATACTCATTTATCCAATAGGGACAATTATTTCGTTAGATACATAAATATATTACAAATATTGCGACGTAAGTACACGGAAAATCATTGAAACGAGTGACTTTGACGATCCAAAAGCCGAAATAGATTTGAGGAACCAAGATGGCGGACGAGACAGTCCACTCTACCATAAATAATAATTTATCATAAGCTTGACATTATCGATATATTACAAAGGTTAATATAACAACAAATATAATTTCTAAAAGTATTACAGTCTCCTCTCAATTATCGCCTGACTTATTCCTACACGATGATTGTCCAGGCTTATCTCCCCACTTTTTGGAAGTTGGTCTGAAGCATTTCTCCCTATAAGATTATTGTCCCGGCGCTGACCCGAGTTCTGGACAATAATCGAATGGAGTCTGTACTCCACAAAAGAAACGGATCAAAATAAAATAGAGCGATACAATTGGTCGCGACATTACCGACAGAGTAGCCTGCCTCATCGACCTACTTATCGACCGATCGCCGCCATTTTGTTTCCACGCATAAAACTGTCCGGAATCAATTGATCCAAGCATGCATCTACGGAATCATCCTAAAAATATCATCTCACTGAGCGTTATCGCGATAAATGATCGATGGATCGCGACCTCCTTTGACTCCAGATATTCGAACGCCACTCTTCGAGGGTCGACGCTCCACGCAGGTGTTCCGTGGCGCCAGATTGGAAATTAATTGGAAGAGGACGCGAGTCATCGGCGCGTGTCTATTACTCGACTCGATGGAAAATCGTGATTACAGAGATTGAATTTCCCCCGCGGGAGGTCCTCCCGATGGCCGCGGTGTTCTTTTCTCATGAATTATAAAAACGTTAACCCTGGTCGACGTGTGTTGTACACGAGCAACCCATTTCGGAATTCCACAACAAAAGGGGAAGTCGGTTGAAGCCGTTGGCTTCCGCGTCGACCGCATTCGACGGGGTACGAACGTTCAATTTCCGACCGTTTCGAGGCGACTCGCAATTTTCCTGGCCCCAGGGCAGATACAGCGTTCGCGACGATAACCATAACTGGAGACGAGTGTCCCCTGGGGGGCTACAGAGAGAGACAGAAGGGTTCTATGGCGCGCTGACGCTCCGTTGATCCTCTAAAGACTCCACCGTACTTCGCCACGGCTACTATATTACAATAATTTCAGACTTTAGGAGACGCCTGGCCACGTTCACCCTTCCTTCGTCTCATAATACGCGCTGTGGCCCCGTATACCCTGACACTATCGAAAGTTTAGAGGCTGTGGGGCCTGATAGCCACTATAGGAGACACTGACACCGTATATGGGATTTCATTCTTCTTTTTTTCCAAGACTTATTTTATCGGTCATTTAGATTATATGGTGGTGTTCGGATATAGGTGGGTCGAAGGAAGAGTCAAGTGATGGCCAGGGTTGATTTAGATGAGTTTCGGGGATAGGTTCAGGTTAGATTAACATAATAATATATAGAACATACATTAAATATGAAGAATTATTAATTAATTAAAACGTGTAAGCAACCCCAGTGGCCCTATAATTGTCACCTCAAAAATGAAAGTAATTTTTATACACTTCGACAATTCATTTTGTACAACAAAATACCACATCCTACTTGCGTAGTGCGTTTTTGGTGCTCGAATTGCAATTTAATTTTTCAACATTAATTTCTATAATACAAACATGTATTTCTTTATCTTTATATACAGTTCCAATTTAATAATAAAATTGCTCGTGCACAATTCTTTCTACATATTTCTTTATGTAAGTAAAATAAACAAACTGGCAGTATTATGGACGCTGGCAGTGATCGGTACCTTCACCCTATACCAGGTATACATTTTTACCTGCCCAGAACCGATATAGGTACGTATACCTCTTACGGACCGAAAGGTTGTTTGTTTCCGAAAAATTCCACCGAAACGCCATGCCACGTCCGTATGAATATTGACAAACTGTCGGGCGTAGGGGGAGATCGTGGTTAGTATCACCTTGATCCCCCGTCAGAACGGATCACAGTTGATCTACCGTGGTCGGAGTGGATCTGACTGAAGCTCCGCTACGGAAAAGTGTGTGTATTTCGAAACGATATTTTAACGGGAACCGGGGCATCGCGTGTACTTGTTTCAGAGGACCAGCACGAGTCTGTGGGGCGAGTGGATGGGCGTGATGCACGGGGACGAGGTGGAATACGTGTTCGGGCATCCTTTGAACACCTCGCTGACCTACAGCAACAACGAACGGGACCTGTCCCTCAGGATGATCCTCCACTTCTCGAATTTCGCCTACTTCGGGTGAGTTACATACTCTAATTACATGATGTAACATCGATACGGATCGAAATAGTCATTTCGACCACATCAGTTCGTTCGTACGAATAGTGTCATACGATCCAAGATGGCGGCGTTCATTACCTGATTAGTAGACCACGAATTTTATACGTACACGGCATACAAAATTGTTTAATCGTTACTAATTGCGGTGAATAATGTTAATTTGGATCGAAATAGTAATTTCAAGCACCTCAATTCGTCTGTACGATTAGTGTCACGTGATCCAAGATTGCGGCGCTCCTGACCCGATCAGTTGACCGTGGATTTCGCACGATTATTTAAAATTCAGTTGCAATCGAGCGTTTAATAGAGTATAACGAGACTTTTCTGTAAATTACCCCATAAAATTCTGTATCTACACGAACATCCCCCTCGGTTTACCGATCGCGACCTCGATTTTTAGGCAGATTTAATCTCCTGTGGTTGCCTTACAATTACGTTTTAATATTTAATATATAAAAATAAAAAATGACGATAACAGTGAGAAGTGTCGTGTAAGATCGAAAAGTGCGATTTTTCTCGGTGATTTATTCGGGCAGGCCACGACGGGATCGAGAATGGCCTGAGCAACCCCGGATCCCGCACGATCCAACCGATAAACTTCACAACGCTCGACGTTACGACAGAGAGTCGACGGATATTCATTCGACGGGAGACGGTTAACCTGAAAGCTCGATTGTCTGGCACCCGTCGATTCTCCGTCGGTTATTTTAAGTCGTGGTCGTTTAAAATTGCATTTCGTATTCACCGTCCAGCCCCCATCCCCCCCCCCTTTACCAGTTTGATATATAGCTTGGTTGAACGAGAAGGTAGCTCCTCGAGAATTCCTTCCACGGAGGAAGATAGTCGTAGCAACAAATTTGACTTGCATGGAGGAAACGCCCGTTGAAAGCATTCCCTCCTCTGGGCCCGTCCGCATACGAAGCGACCGATTATTTGATTGCGAATTAACGACCGATCTTTCGCACCCATTTACAAGACACAGGTCATATAACGTTTTCTCTGAACTTTTTGAGCGCTGATTAGGACGAATTTTTCCTTTATTCAAGCATCTGGACAATTTAGTCGCTGAGCCGCCATTTTGATTAATTTGAAGGTCCGCCATATTGATCAATCTGAACGTCCGCCGTATTGGTCAACCTGAACGTCCGCCATATTTGATTTCGAAGCGAATCGCAAGAATTTCTCTCGATTTGGGAATTGTTAAATGCTCCAGTTTGTTTAAAAATGATTGAAGATGGAATGATTCCAACCTAGAAATGATAGGGAAGTTCTTATGTTGGAGATTGATTAATAATTTACCGCGCAATCGCGTTCCAAATTCGCGAGTCGGTCGAGAAGTCGAATAAATTCGTGACGTGTTCGTTGTGTTTCGCGGCAACGATTAAATATTAACGACATGTTCCCCGTGGATTTTCGATCTGGGTTAACGGGCAGCATTCAGAATTATTTAATCGATCGGATACAAAGTGCCCGTGATACGTCGCCTGGACATCACAGTCTATCAATCCACTTTTCTATCGACGGTTTTATGGACTGAGAGCGTGTCCCCTCCAGGCATCGATCTCTTCTCTTTTTCCTTCATTTCAACGGGCATTCAGCATTAATTATCGTGACCTTTGACCTTCTCCCGACCAGCTAGGTGCCGTTTAAAACAAGGTCAAAAGGTTTCTCTAGCTCTTTTAGTCAGAAAAAAAATCACCTGTTTTCGATCTCGCGTGAAGTACACTCCCAGCCATAAGTCGCAAAAAAATGAGGTTCGAAACGGAAATGGAATTTTCTGAAGCATCAGTTTCACTAATTCATTGTGTTCTTAGATAACATAGTGATCTTGAAGTAGTTTTAGTAAAATAGTCGAGATATTTCTTTGTCCGTGTCGACTTGTGGACGAGAGTGTATACGTCTTTAAAGTGGGATCAAAATAATCCTATAATTGTCTACGGTCCGAAGAAACTGCTGATCCGTCTCGTGATTAATCGAGGAAACGGAAAATCGCCACTGAAATATTCATATAATTCACGGGGGAGACAACCAGCCACGCCGATAATAATTAATAAACTCCATCTGGGAGTACGGCGTGTGCTTAGTTTGTTAGTGCGTTGTTAATAATTTTAAACGAGCCTAGTTAACTGGCTTACGTCGCGGTGTGTATAACTCGGATTAATTATCGACGGACAACGCCTCCGACACGTTGTCACCTCGCGTCTGGATCGTTTAAAATCATCCCCCTGATCAGAGATTGTCGAAAACAGATTATCAAATTGTACCGATTCTTTCACACAATTATTAATAATTTTATAAGTAGGTGTATGTACGTTCATTACGATTAGAAGAATTTTTTACGACGTTACCAGATTATTTGTGCTTGACTATACCATTTATTATACCTTCTGTAAGTACCTATCTATATGATATTTAAACGTGAACGAATCGTTTGAAATTATTTTCTAGAAAACCAACGCGTGAGGAGTCTGAGTGGCCGCCATATTCGAGGGACAAGCCACAGTATTTTATTTTCGACGCGGCGGGGACCTCGCTTGGCAAAGGGCCCCGGACCACGTCCTGCGCCTTCTGGAACGAGTTTCTGCCCAGGCTGAAGGGCATACCAGGTACATAAATATCAACATCACTGATTCGTCTAAAAAACTCTCCCCCCTGTTCCCTTGTTAGCACAAATCCCACTTATCTAGCTGAGGCTCCATATGACCCTTTATACTTTTTATCAATTTTACCAATTTAATTAGAATGATTAATATTTTAAACTAAAATTGAAAAAAAATTAAAAATAAGTGGGAAAAAAAATGTTTTCCTTACAGTAAAACGATTTAATTGTTTTTGATAATTTCACAAAAAATTATATTAGAAATGGAAAGCTCAAGGTATTTTTCAGTAACCCCAGAAAGCCGATATATCGACTTTATGGTAGTAAAAGGGTTAAATTCGTCTCAGAGATGAGTGGTCTTTAGTCAAGGATTAAACCTGGCACCTGTTCCTTGCCGTCGATTTAATATCACCCGACGTTTTCTTCCCTACGACAGCTTGGAATCCCCATTTTTCCCTCGTTTCACCCCCCGACTGTGGTCGACCCTCCCCCGATAAATAATTCAAATCCTATATCGACCAGATTTTCCCATTCCAGGGGGCCCTCGCAGTGTTTCATTATCCCCCCTGTGTTGCGTGACGTTGCGTTCCGGTACGCGGTTGTTTCCCCGTGCACATAATTCCCTGCTTCTGTTTATTCGAGATCGTTCCGGATTAAACCTATTGTTTGGTCGTATCGAACGCTCGACCGTTCCACTATCCATCCCTCTGACCCTCTCCTGTTCTACGGAAAAATCGTTTCCGATCCAATCTGTGTCCCCAAAGCTCTCTCTCTCTCTCTGTTCGAATACATATTCCATCGTGGAAATCAGAATTCGGGTCAGGGTCAGAGAGTCGGAATAGAAATCGGACCAGGATGGATAGGACATCTTGGAATGCAATTTTCCGCGGATGGTCGATCCTCTTGGGAGGCTGATTAATCCGTGGAAGATTGCTTGACCGCAGGAGACTCCGCGGATCGAGGATTAAATATCAGTGAATCTGAATACGGTGGTCTGTTCCATTTTTGGGGGGGGGGGGGCTTTTAGGAATTGTTTGACCAGTGCACAATAGAATTTACTACCAGTTGATATTGATCGGTGGTTTTTTTTTGAGATTGTTATTGTAGTGGGGAACGATCCAGTAAGGGTTGTTAATGAAAATTCTTAAGGGCCATTTAATTCACGGCTTTAATCTTTCGTGGAGAGGAAGAACAGCGGACAGCCATTAGAGTGTTCACAAACCGACAATTTCCTCCTCGGCTTTTAATTAACGGGACACTTAATTCCCCTATAATCGGATCGGAACGACCGGTTCACGGTTTCTTTTAATAACAATCCTGGTGGTTCGTGAGGAGACTGAGGGAAACGAGGGTGCAGTTTACACGGAGAACTGGGGAACACAGTCGCAACCGTAATTCACTTTATTGACTTTCATTTAATTTGATATTGTTCGATCGTTACTTGTGAATCGATTGATTCATAATATTCATGAATTGATTGTTCGATTCATAATTATTTATGAATTCATTTCACTCGAGTGATTTCAACGCACGAAACCAATATGGCGGCGATCAGTTGGTGAACGGATCGATAAGGCAGATTACACGTTATCGGTAATATTGTGACATATTGTAAATTTATTTAATTGCAAATAATTATTTAGACTTCTTACAATGTATGCAATTTATAAAACGTGTTTTTTTTTCTCAAGAAATAACTGAATTGTAGTTATGGTAGGTCGCCACATTACCGACCGTGTGGCCTGTCTCTTCGATCCGTTTATCGACTGATCGCCGCCATATTGAACCCATGCGACAATCTTTATGCGAGTTTTTTTATGCAACGACCTATTAATTACGATACATTCGTGATTGCAGAGTTAAATACGAACATTGCACTTAACATGACGATACATAATTCTTATAAAAGCATCAATTAACACGTTTACTGCCGCAATGGTCACCGGTGACAAGCGCCATATTGATTCTGCGCGATAATATGGCTCGCAACCCACGAGAGAAGTACAAAACGACGTTCAATCCTACTCCAACCTCAATAATTATGACACATTCACAGCTACACAGTTGAATAATAATATGACACACAAAATTACAGTACACTGTTCCCATGATAAACACGCGTTCATTAACCCCAGCAATCTCCATTAAATTACACGACGAAAAACCTTCAATTTCGAAACAGTAGATACCATTTACAGGCTTGTGAATACAATAATTAGCACTCGAATGATTGCAATTCCAATGATAAAACAAGCTCGTAAAATTCCGCCCAAGAAAAAAGAAAGAAATATAAATAAAGTGGTTCCACACTTTTGGACGCCAGTGTTGAATCTGGATCGCGTGACTCGGGGCCATCATCAATCATTTCTAGCTAATAACAGTCTTTCGCGAACTAGGATCCATAGATTAACGCGATTCTTCATAAGATATGGACTCCCTCCAGACAACCTGTTAATCTCGCGGAAACGATCGAGGCTCTGATTTTTAATAAGATCTTGTTGCTTGTCACGCTTGCAAATATTTGTTCAGTCGGTTCGACTAAAGCAATCGGATCTCTGGGGAACTCCTTTCGGGATCTCGAAAGAACCGGTTGCTCATTATCCTTCCGGCGATTTTTTTCACCCCCGTTCGTCGACCGACGCGACGCAATCTCGCGCTGGATTCGCCTCGCGTCTAGCTCGGGGAATTACAAAAGAACTCGGGGGAAAAAGCTTTCTGCGTTCCTCCGTTGCCCACTGCTTCTTCTTTTCGGAGCTCATCAGCGGTCGAAATCACGACAAAGAGAATACGAAATCAGACGGGTCTGATGATTTAAGGCGTTCGAATATTTATAGGGGTGGAAACGAATTCCCTCGGGCCTGGTGAATCCAATTATATAACAGGCTGCCTTGGCTGCCTCGAGCGAGACAATTAGAGGGAATTCGGCATCAATTAATTGTAATCAAGTCGAAGACCAGGGACGGCACTATGTTTCCTTTTGATTTTTAATGATCCCTTCGACCTGTCAGAGTGCAGTTGCATGCAATTTGTTCGAAGTTGTTGAGTTATTACTAATGAAAATTCATAATTTCGGACACGAATATTTAAAAATTAAAATTTTACGGAATTTTGAATTTTGTGGTAGAGGTTTTACTACCATTGAGAAGATAGTAGAATTTTGTACTAGAGGTTTTACACCACTAGTAATAACACACAAATAGTAGGTAATACAATCATAATCCAAACACAATCCAAACAGAATCCAAACAGAATCCAACCAGAATCCAAACAGAATCCAAACAGAATCCAAACGGAATCCAAACAGAATCCAAACGGAATCCAAACAGAATCCAAACAGAATCCAAACAGAATCCAAACGGAATCCAAACGGAATCCAAACAGAATCCAAACAGAATCCAAACAGAATCCAAACGGAATCCAAACGGAATCCAAACGGAATCCAAACAGAATCCAAACAGAATTCAAACACAATCCAAACACAATCCAAATATAATCCAGGTAGCAGAAGTAATCCAAAAAAAGATCTAATCCAACACTGGCAGTCGAACTGTTACCCAAGCTCCTTTTTCTTAACTTAAGACATTTTCTGTGCCAAAAGTAATTCTGAACATTACGTTATGAATCTCGACCAATTGTCTGTTCCAGACCCAGCTCCAGAAGCGTGCAACAGCGCAGTGGCGATAGTGTCCGGGGCGACGTCCGATCACGGGAACACGCTGACGATCACGGTCCTCTCGTCGATCCTGGTGTTATCCAGGGTCATTTAAACCACTCGAGGGACACGTGTCACGATCAATCCTTTTTCCCCCGAAAGCCGACAATCCGTTTGTTTCGAAACAACCGCGCACGGAAACTCGTTTCCTTCGATCATTTCCCGCGCGGTCTTGTCGAATACGTTGTTGGATCCCCGTCGATCCCGATCCGCGCTCACCGAAAATTTTAGTCACGAGTGATATCTCTCGATCCGTGATTCGCCGCTAGATCGTCGCTTTTTCCCTACCCTCCACACGTATAAAACACGTGATCCTTCGATCTTCGACGATAAAAAATAGATCGATTTAGGCGGAGGTGGGGGGAAACGGGATTTATGACAAAAAAAGAATGTAGATCAAGTCACGTGGTCTTCTGGATCTTCTCGGACGGTTGAATCTTCTTGGATCAGGATCGTTTCCATACCCAAATAGGACATGACGGCTTAAAGACGCCCATTTTACGGCTGTTTTAGGTCTAAGGCGCCTTTAAGCCGTCTTTAAGGCGTCATGTACTATTTGAGTGATTGACTCGTCCAGTGATCTCGTTCGAAACGGAAAGATATTCGATTAGATCCGAATAAAAATGACCGACCATGGTCCAGTCGAGACAATTCGAATGATAATCGAACGAGGAAGGAGTGTGACGGTCTGCATAAATAATACCGTGAACCCCAGGCAAACAGAATCGATAACCGCCCGGAAAAAACGCGTTTCTAGATAGAGAGTGGAGGGAGAGACCACGCGTAAACTGTTTACGGCGGCTGTTAACCACCTGTTCGCGGAATCGATGGCTCGCGACAGAAGTTTCATTAGTAAAACGCAACAAGTGCTCACCGTTTTACATAAGGCAGGGGGGAGGGGGGATGGTACGATCCCGGGGATCGCTTGGATCGCGTCCAGGAGCCACGGGACACGCGATTTTTCGTGATCCACGGGACCAAGGCTTGGCCTCGGAACGAACTGTCAGGTGTTCCACCTGTTCCTCGGTGATTGGGGATCGAGACAATAGTTGTTTAACACTAGAACTACCAAAGCAGTCGAAACGACTGGTTAGTACGCTTTTATAACGATAATTAAAATGTTAAAACAATGCATTTTTTCAGATCTTTAATAACTTTTATTGCAATATATGAGTAAAGAAATTAATTAACTAATAAATTCTTATTTGTTACTTTTATTGCAATATGTAAGTGAAGAAATGAGTTAACTAATCAATTTGTACTTACAACTTTTATTGTAATATGTAAGTGAAGAAATGAGTTGATTTGTAAATTTTTATTCATAATTTTTATTGAAATATGTACGTGAAGAAATGAGTCAACTTTCAAAGTTTATCGTATTTATCGACGTACATCGAGATGCAAGTTTGTTGTCGGTAGTTCTAGTGTTTAACAGCTTTCTAGAGTCGAAAGATTATTCAGGCGGTACGATATCTTGAAGGACTGGTCCTTTGTGTTTGTAGAGACCTGGAGCTCAAAAATGGAAGTAGATAAATTCAGAATTATTCCGAAAACAGACATGACAAGTTCGTAGCGCTTCAAGCGCGCTGTCTTTCAGTGGCCTTGTTCACTGGACGACGGAAAAATCGTTTGGATCCAGTGAACAAGTACCTACCGCTTCTGAGATTTTCTTTTCTTCTCGAGGAAATCAAAGGACATGAAACTTCTCGACGAGCCATCAGCTTCCAAGATCCCTCAAGATTTTATCTCGAGAAAATCCAATATCCCTTCAAATTTTATCTCGCGAAAATCCAACATCCCTTCAAATTTTATCTCGAGAAAATCGAAAATGATCGTCCTGAAAGTGGACCGTCTCTTAGAGAGAAATCAGCTCTTCGTCTACAAGGATCGTTCCCCGAACGGTTTAAGGATTCACGGTCCCAGGGATTCGACGGGTTAAGTGCAGACCGGTGTCGAGGACACCTACAACGTAGTCCTGTACCGTTTGGAACGAAAAAGGAGGTTGGAGAGCGGTGCGGAGAAACTAGGAGTCGCGTCAGTTTCCCGAGGAATTCACGCTCCGGTTGCCTGACCCGCGAAATTGGACGCACTTCGCCCTCTCGCACGGGTGACTCCTCTCTCGGGGGCTGCTGGGGGGGAGGGGGATCGTTATAAATATATTCCCTGTCTCGGCCGGATGTGTCGGTGGGTGTCCTTTGACGGATGTATATATCCTTCTCGTGGTTCTCTTCCGCGGCTACGTTCGTTGAGACTGGGAAAGGTTCCTCTGGATCCTTGGGATGAGATTACCGGACGAGAAATCCACCAGACACGCGCGACTTCTTTGATCTGGCCGGAAAAAGGGGATCGAGGAGTTTTCGGTGGGCCAGCTAGGAGACGAACACGTTGACTGCCGGGAGTATCTTTCACTGCTTCGTTGAAGATCGAGCGTGAATGAGTACCGTGGGGAATAGTATAGTATAAGGTCAGGCAAAGTATTCTGTGGGGTCAAGCAGGAAAGGAGTTGTTAGACTAGTTTGTGGGGACACTGAGGATCTTCTACGCCTCGTCGAAGATCCTAGTGAATAGTGCGCAGGGTCAGGCAAAACGTTATGTTGGGTCAGGCAAAGGGGAGTTATTAGAGTGATTTGTGGGAACAAACCTCTTCAAAAATCAAGGTGAATAGATAGACTAGTATGCAAGACCAGGGAAAGTGGGTTCAAGCAGAATTAGGGTCAAGCAAAGAGAATTAGTTAAATAAAGAAATTGTTGTATAAGGCCAGGCAGAGTGTCATGTGGGGTCGGGTATAGTGTTATTTAAGGTCGGACAGAGTATTATGCAGGGTCAAGCAGAGCGTTGTGTGGGGTCGGGCATAAAGTCATGTGGGGTCAAGCAGAGGATATTTATCAGAATGTCATGCGGAAACGTTGGACATCAGAATATTTCTTAAGATTGTTTCGGCCTCCCATAAAGAGATAATGGAAGACTGAAACGATCTGGGAATGTTTGAATACCGGCAGTCAACGTGTTCGAGGGGCACTACGATCCAGTCGATCGATCATTTTCCCAAAGGACCAGGAAGACGGCGGATAACAACCTTTGATCTGGACTACGAAGATGGGCACAGCTACCATGACAATACCGTCGGTGAAGTAGAAGTTATTATTGTCTACTATCTCTCTTCCGCTTTTGAAGCGGACCAATTTAAATTGCTAGAAAATACTTAAAACGAACAGAAAAAAAAAGAGAAAAAACACCTTTGTGAAATAATCGACCGGGAGATAGAGAAAGAGAAATGTAATCTGTCGTTTCTAGGTAGAGAACGAGCTCGATGAACACGGTCTTTAGAGTCCATTTTTTGGACTGTGTGAATATATATTGTATATGTATAATCAGTCCAGGTCAAATTCAGGCGACCCTCGAGAGTCATTTGAATGGTCGAACGTGGGCGCGTTTCATGGTACTTGTTAACACATTCGCAGTCGGATTTAAATAATTGAATAAATAAATATGCAGCTGGATATCTGTTACGTATGTATAATTAACTCCGTTAATGGAAACAGTTAACTTTTTATGGTTTTCACTTTGAAATGTTACAAGCAAGGTAATTTAAACGAATGTGTTTCGACTGTTTAATGTTCGACATTTGTACAGATTAAGTGAGAAACAAATTCTCGTTTTATTCGTGGCGTCAGAAAACCGAGAATGAAAATGAGATAATATTCGACACTATTAACAATTGTACTTGGTAATTTTTTGAAGTTTATTGTTACATATGAAGGCATATCTAACAATAATCTTCAATAAATTACAATTGCGTTTCTATAAGAGAGAAATTTTCTTTAGTCATCAACTTAGAAACTTAATAGTAGATCATGTTATTCGTCATCCAGCTTCATACTTGTTTATTCTCACAAACCTCGTCTCTCCTTGCCATTAAAACACGAAACCATTAAACGGAATATAAATTCTCCAACGAACGATCTATCGAGGTCCATTAAATCAACATGTAAAATAATTTTATCTTACCTCCGAATCTATCGACTTCCTCGATCATCTTCGAAAAAAAAAAAAACCAAAAACAAAGCTGCGAGTGTGTTAAGTAAGAGTGGAAAACGCATAAGAATCCTTGGTTTATCTCGATTTTCCGACTTTCCGCCGACCCTTTAAAAAAAAAGTATACGCAGAACGGCGTCACGAGGAAAACGCAAACAGGCGTTAGCCCCCCGGCGTGGCGAGAACGAAATGATTTCGACGTGGTAGTTTCGTTGTTCGCCGTGCTTTTTGTGTGTTTTTTTTTTGTTTCGTCTTTCGTTTCGCGTCTCGTTTTCATTGGTCCATTCTACCGGCTGGTGGTAGAGTCGGTCGGGCGTGGAAAGATTTGCTTTTTTTTTTTTTCTTTTTTTATTTTCGTGCTTGTTCCTTTCGGCCGCCAGAGACATCACGAGAAAGACAAAGGAGTATAATGGCACCTCGTGAATTTAAACACGTTACAAAAAAAAAACAAAATAGACACTTAAGGGATATACCATTTAAGCGATGATGTAAATATACGTATACATATTATACATATGGATCTATATAAATATATATATATATATACATATATAAATGCGTCAGGTTGTTGCTAGTGAAGTGACATTTATATTAACGGTATTACTACCAATAACGCCACGCCAACTGTTTGTGGCCTATGACGTCACAGTCTCCACTGGTACTTGTCAAACATTCCAAATTATCGAATTTTGTTACATACAGGGTGTCCCACCTAACGTGAGTCCCTTCAACAAATTCTCAAACTGATAACCATCAACTTCGACAAATTATTTGCACTAATTAAATTTATTATTTAAATCTACTTCCTTAGATTTCAGGATTTTTCGTACTCAATGTCAAATGAAGGTCACCAGATTGGTCTCGACCTCAATTATTCCCATTCAAGAAAACACCTTAGAAATTCCAGAAATGTGACCTTTATAAATATTGTTTATTATTTAATTTAAAGTTAAATATTTCGATTAGAGCTCACGTTAGGTGAGACACCCTGTATATACATATCAGAAAATCCCCAGTCT